GTTACAGGTCCCAGTTCAAGAGTATGCATTGGAGATCAATGAAGATGTGGTTTACACCTCCCAGAGAGTGAGTACTTTTCCCCAGGTGTAAAATCTGCACTTGTGCATTAAAGCAAACACAGTTCTGGTTTAACCTCACCCACCAATCACGGTAAACCCTCGATGGAACCCCATTTGCCAGAATAAGTATCTATTTTTGTATGATAGAAAAAGGAAAACATTTTAGTTGTTATGTAATTTTTAAATATCTACATGTCTAAATTGCACATACTGCGTAATAACATGCATTTTACTATAAGTGAAGTGGTTATACCATCTATGAAGATTTATGCTGTTTACAGATTATACTGTGTTGACCGAACCATATGTTTTAAGGTTGCTTTATGCATACACTGCATTATACAGAGAAATGTTCTGAATATTTATCCTAGCCCCATTAATAGAAATGGGATGGAAAAAATAATGGAAGTGTAATGCAATTCAGATTAATGGCAAAAACAACACTAAAACTGAATCCCATATTCTCCATTAACTTAATATTTATGAATCCTTCTCACCAGCACATCCTTATACTGGGACCAAACAGATCATATCCATAATTAAAATGCAATAAGTACCAAATTGTGAATATTAACAAAAAGATTGTTTAGCAGTGATTTGCATAAATGCACCATCGTTGTGTTTTGTTTCATTTGCATAGTATTTGATAGAAATAGAAATATCCTTTATTGTCTCTCACTAGGGAAATTCACCTGTTCCAACAGCAATGTGAGAGAGAAATGGAGCAAGAAAATTCACACAACAGTAAAGAATAAAAATACAAGAAATAAGAGACTGTACAGGGCAAATACACAACACAAGAAAGTTAGGGTTTCAATAAATAAGGGTCACTAATTGAAAAATCTGTAATCCTGGATACGTTACTGCAAAAGGCATGACGTTCAAACTCCCCAGCTGTTATTTGCTGAGGGAATTTGTCAACCTCCTACAACAACACCTGCATTCATCTTAGACTGAGAGTTTGATTTTCTGTGTTTCCTATTTACTGAGCCGAAGTCGTTCTTCATGTTTTCACTATGAACTGGCGATGGGAATGAGTTCTTACGTTTATTCGTTTTTACAAACTACTGCATCTCAAAAAAGTAATATAGACTTTTTAAAAAATATATAATTTAATTGAATTAGTAAACCCCCACACTATGAATGTCTCTTTGTGCTCAGTTGAACAGTCAACTTTCAAAGACGTTGGCCCTCACGCAATGTTTACGCAAAGTTTCATGAAGACTGATCGAGTTGTCTCGAGTTGAGAGCGAAGCTTCTTAAAGCTCAAGTTGTCTGTTTGAACTAGCGTCCAAGCTTCCATTAATAACAGAAACAATATTGTCTGTGACATTAATAGAGATGCTAAAAACAAGGTTTAAGTGCAACAACTGGTGAAGCCAAGTAAGTCATCATATTTCAGGCATAAAACACATACGCAACAATGTTTCCTTTAGCTTGTTGTAATAACAAATTTTCCCACAATTGATGAGCATTAAAATTAAACATATTTCCTGTGTAGTTTTATGTTCAATTCAAATTGATTTTATTGAAAAGCGCCAAGTTACAAGAGCTTACACTGTAAAGACACTAAAGTAATACATGGAAACCCCAACAATTAAACAATGTTTAATCAACAATATTTTATCGTTAGCTTTATTTTTTTCTAAAATCTTGTTTCTATTTTTATTTAAGTTAACTGAAATGTTTTTTTATACCTACTTTTTAGTTTTAGCTACCAATAATCGCCTGTGTTTTATAGAGAAAATGGACAACGCTATGAAACACTTGCCATTTTCAGGACATCATACATTAAAGTTGATATCATTTTGGCTTTTTTTGGCTTCTGAACTACGGCATCTTTTTTAAACGAAAGATACCAGAAATGTCTGAACATCAGTTCCTGCAGCAGCTATACACAAAGTTCAGGGTTAAAGTCATGATTAAAGACATTTTTCCATTTTGCCTCAGTCTTTTTTTTTTCCAGATAATCTGAATAATCAGGCTTGCTGAGAACAGCTAAAGCTACGTTTATTTCTTTAAGTTTCCCAAAGCTGAGTGTGAAATGAGGCCAAACACCCCAGAGCTGTTATTCAAATGAGTGTGAGTCTGAGTGTTCCTTAAGTAAAAGGGCTTCTTCTCTATTTTTACAGGCTCCTCACTTACCGTGCACTCTGCCCAACACCAGCGACTTCACAGCGTTGAATTCCCCATCAGATGTCAGATTGAAGTCTTCTCTGGCATTTTCATCAATCTGAAGGAAGAGAGCTATTTCCATTATTTAAATAGGAAAGTTTTGTTTTAATTTCGGCAACTTTGAGCGGTAGGTAGAAAAACATCTTACAGAGTTCTCCGAAACAGAAACGGTATTACGAGGTACTCTAAACGTGCTTCAAATTTGATTCAAATTTGTTTAAAATGGATGTAAAACTATCACCTTATGACTCCTATACTGTATGCTGCTAAAGATACAACAATTCAGTATGACGGAAAGTGATAAGATGAAATGTGCCTCATAGTTTACTGGAGCCTCACAACACAGTGAATCAGGAGGCTACACCCACGCAAGACAAGGTCACCTTGTAATTTATCTCACAGTTGATAATTATATAGACATTCTGGCTGCTGCCTCCTGGTTAGATAGAATTTACCTCATACATCATCTGAGGCTCTTGTTAACAAGATAGGAGATTCAGGAGATCCAGATACGATGAAGATGCTTCATATTTCATCTGTGCCTTATTTAATGGGCGGTTTGTCCGCGCTGTCCTGCTATAGCTGCATCCAACTACTGTGGGTGGAAGTAAACTAAATTGCTGACTAAGGCTTAAAACAAAGAGGGATTTTTTTTTTACAATACTGTAGTGCGGTCCACACCAGAACTGTGTGTGTGTGTGTGTGTGTGTGTGTGTGTGTGTTATTGCCCTTGAGATAAGCTCCTCATTGGCAAAGACATGGAACAAAAAAAGTTTATCTTAGCTTTGCACCTCATCTTCTTTATCTGCGTGTACAAAAGCACATCATCGACATAAAAGGTTTTACGACACAGTGATGCATGACTTTGCATTATTTATGGAATAATTTTGGCAAGTGGCTCAAGCACCATTACATTACTGGTAACGGTACTGGTTACTGGATAATCACAATTAGGATATTGTATTTGATGCAACATAATAACAACGTAGCAACATCATAACATCATAACCTGTTGCATCAGGCTAAATTCTGGCAGTGTCAGAAGAATCACTACACCTATCTCACAATGAGAGTGCTGTGACTGTTACGAGCCACACCTGCCAATCATTCTGGAAATACAAAATAAAATGATTCTCAGTGTGTGGTTCAAACATGCAAACTAAATGTTTCCAGCAAAGAAGAAACTCTTGTCGAGTTGTGGCAGCAGAAGCTTGTTTGTATGATGTGTTTTCTGGTGTGATAATGACAGTGCAAAGGAGCAAGTAATATGGAGAGAAACACCCTTGGGATTGCTGCCGTGCACTGAAATTCTATAGCAGATATCACCTTTACAACAGTCTGCAAACAGTGAATAAAACATGATGTTGTGTACCAAAGCTTATGAGATCCACAATAATGAAACATCAGTTTGTAGACTTTTTAAGGGTTATGAAGTGAAGGTGGTAGGGATGTGGCCAAAGGTTTCTAATGGAATGTGTTGTTGTTGTCACTCACATTAACTCTGCAAACAGGATCATTTGTGTTCTGCTAATCTGTCTTTTGTTCCTCCAATGTAAGAAAACAACAACCTTGCAAATTTGCATTAAACGCTGGACTTGTTTTTTTTTTAACTAAAACAATACAGACGCCTTTGTGCGAGCTGGATTTCTTTGTACTTTGCCAATTTGCAAACTTGCAGTAATTTCATGAGCTGATGAGATGTTTTTACCTGCACAGACACAGAGTCTGTCAGCCTCCTGATGGTAACGGTGTGAAGCTGTCCATTGGCCACGTTCCTCACGCTGCTCCTTAACACTTCAGCATCTCTGCTGCTGTCCAGCTTGTATCTCACCTCCAGCTTATCTTCATACACAACAGACACACACACATACTCATCAAATAATAGTGTTACAACTCAGATATATGAAAGAAGTAACATTTCTACACTTTCACAGAAGAAGGATTTGAGATCATCAGCATTAAGTTTGGTCTTTTCCTGAAAATTAGGCTTTGCTACGTTGTATAATCTTCACCAACAGGGCAAACATACATTTAATCCTTCATATATGGATCTGAATGTTTTGAAGAAGTTGTTGTTCTATTAATTGAGATTTGCATATTAAGAGAATAAGTGCTAATTCCCCATCTATAACAGAGCTAATCCAATTAATTCCCCTAATAGTCAAGCATATTAATTGGAGATTTATCAAAAGAGTGAAGTTTTTTTCTCACATCTGCAATATTTCCATAAATCAAAGTGAATAAATCATATCACAAGGTCAAAATTACAATTCAATATCTTCTTTTTGAGGTGCTGAGGAGAAGGGGGAAATATTAAAGACCTCCACCTACCAGCTACAGCTCTAATAACAATAAATGTATTCTTTAAAAAAGGAAAAAGGGCCCTAAGTGAAGCAGTAGTGCTCGGGCTGAGGGGGTTTAACTGCAGTCAAGGATAAAAAGAAATGAGCCATCTTAGGGCAAACAAGAGAAAGCTCTCAGGGATTTAATTGGACGCTTCATTTTAAGAGCATTTACCTGACGACTCCACGGTCAGCAGCAAATCTTAATGCCCTGCTGTCCATCAGCTTTCTGTGAGTCATTAACACCAGAAAAAATCCATTTACAACTAATCTAGCAGCAAAGTGCCAATTTTATTAGATTCCTGGATGCTGAAAATGTAATTTTCAACTCAAAGTGCCTCGTACCACGTTTAAAAGTCAAACTCACAACACAATTATTTCACACAGAAGCTAAGAAAACACTTCAGCATGTTTCTGGCTCTTTTATTCAGAAGTGCGCCGACCTGCCTCCTATTATCGGCCGACCTAATCCTTATTCCTGCAGTGTCACTCATTGGGTCTCAGAGATAAGTTCAGAAAATGCTTTATTCTTAACTTGAGACAAAACCTAATAGCTGGCAAAGCTGGCTGTATAGAAAATGCTAAAGGCTGACGAGGCAAATCCAGAGAGAGGAGTGATCTGACAGATTTTGATGATGGAGAGCAGGAAACGAGGTCAAAATCAGTGAAAAGTTGTTAGGAATGAATAGGAGAGAACAGGAGAGAATAAAAGGAGAGGAGAAGAGAAACGAGAGGAGCATCCGGGAGGAGAAGCAAATTTAAAAAATATAACTAGACAAAGTTTAGGGAGAAAAATGAGGGCTGGCATTAAAAGTTTCTGAGGCTTCAAAACTTTAAAGTTTTGAAAACTAAAAGTGGAGTTAGCGGGGTAAGACTGAGAAGAACAGTGTACAAGGAGGATCAAGACACCTCTCAATTAACTTAAGGAGGAGGATAAGGAAAGAAAGGAGATGAGAGCATTAAAAGGAAAAGAAGAAGAGACAAACAAGCGTAGGAGGCCCTCTTACCATGCTTGTTGATGAGCACAGCCAGGTATTCTCTGTAGTAGGAGCTGACGTAGAGCAGCAGAGCTGGACTCTGGTTCGTCCTGAAGCTCAAAGAGATGTTCTCTGCTCTCAGCGTCATCTCAGAGTAGATGGAGGACGGCAGAGCGCTGCTGTTCCTGCTCAGCTCATAGGGCTCCTTGAAGGTGTAGCTGACTGATGTTCCAGGCTTGAAGCTGGCTGACACCTCTGGCAGACAGGACAAAAATAAATAGGCGAGGATTTAGAGTGCTGTTCAAATTAAACATTAAAAGAGTTAAAAAGGTTATAGAATAGTGCAACAACATCTTATTGCTATCATACATACACGAAATATATGACTTTATAATAATAAAAAAAAGTCAACTGACACAAAATTTTAAACTCACATTGCATATTTTATCATCATTCTGAGGCAGCGGTCCCCAACCCCCGGGCCACGGACCGGTACCGGTCTGCAAGTCGTTCGGTACTGGGCCGCGAGAGTTGAGGCTCGGGTGTGAAATGTATGGTTTTCAAGGATTTTATCATTATATTTTTATCGTTTTTATCATTAACTCAGTTTCCCTGGGTGTTATGAATAAATCTTCTGTTTTTTTGGTACCGGTACTGGTTTTATTTTGTTGTATTTATCCGCGACACCTTAAAGGCTGGTCCGTGAAAATATTGTCGGACATAAACCAGTCCGTGGCGCAAGAAAGGTTGGTGACCGCTGTTCTGAGGTATCAAAGGTCACTGGAGCCCAAACGTAAACTTTTTACTCCTGCGCAACGAGATCAGCCTTTGGAATGAGCCCAGATGACACCCAGCTCTACCTATCCTCCAAAACCACAACTACTCTCCCACCCACATCCATTTCTGACTGTTTAAGTGAAATCAAGGTCTGGTTTTCTCACAACTTTCTTAAACTTAATGGCAATAAAACAGAATTCATTTTAATAGGCACCAGATCAAAACTAAATACAGTTCCAACCAGTCTTTCGTTATCCATTGATAACTCTGTTGTCACACCCTCCCCTCAGGTTAAGAGTCTTGGTGTCACCCTCGATAGCACTCTGTCCTTCACAGCACATATAAATAATATCACTCGGTCTTCCTACTTTCATCTCCGTAATATTAACCGTCTTCGTCCCTCACTCACACCACACAGTACAGCCATACTTGTCAATGCTCTTGTCACATCTCGTCTGGATTACTGTAATTCTCTTCTCTATGGTTTACCTCATAAATCCCTCCATAAACTGCAGTTGGTTCAAAATACAGCTGCTCGTATTATTTCCAGAACTAGATCCGCTGAACATATAACACCTGTTCTTAAACAGCTCCATTGGCTCCCAATTCACCTCCGTGTCAATTTCAAGATCCTGCTTCTCACTTTCAAAGCGCTTCATAACCTTGCTCCTCCATATCTATCCGATCTTCTCCATACATACTCGCCCCTTCGTACACTCCGCTCTTCTTCAGCTTCCCTTCTGTCAGTTCCACCTGCTCGCCTGACTACCATTGGACTCAGAGCCTTTAGTTGTTCTGCCCCGAGTCTTTGGAACGCACTTCCACTTGCTCTACGGACCACACACTGTCTCACTACTTTTAAATCACTACTCAAAACCCATCTGTTTAGAATTGCATACACCTGATCTGTCTTAGGCCATTTTTACCTTGCTCAGTTTTTATATTTGCTTTTATACTTTTATGACTGTTTATGTCTAAATTCTATCTACCATGTTTGCTATATATACATTTCTCTTATGTTTTTCATGGTATGTTTACGTGTTACTGTAAGGTGACCTTGAGGGTCTGAAAGGCGCCTATAAATAAAATGTATTATTATTATTATTATTATTATTATTATTATCATCAACCTACAGTATCTATCTATTCATTTTCTTTCTCTTACCCGGGTCCAGCTCGCAAGGGTAGGGGTTTGAGCAGCGATGCCCAGGGTGTCCTCCTAGCTGGACATGCCTGAACACCTCACTTATGAGCCATCCTGAAGACATCACAGCTAAATGCCCAAACCACCTCAACTAGCTTCTTTCACTGTGGAGGAGTAGTGGCTTTATTTAACTCCCTCTTAAATTAAACAGCTCTAAGGGATGAAGTTTGCTTCTGCTGCTTGCATCCACAATATCATCCTTTCAGTCAGTACTCATAGCTTGATAGGTTATAGGTAAGCGTAGATTAACTGGTAAACTGACAGCTTTGCTTTCACTCTCAGCTGTACCTTTACCACAAGAGAGTCGTACATTGTCCACATCACTGCAGACATGTGTGAGTCTGCAGAGCGAGTGAGGTGTGTTGCCTCTGTGTGACAGAGTGAAGCTCAAGTACCCAGCCTGAACTAGCTGGATATTTGAAACCCACCCTATTTGTTTTACCAGTTTACTGACGTCTCCAGAATTTCAGTTATCAAAAATATCATTAATAATCTTCTGCTTTTCAGCTGATTGCTAGAGCATTGGCAATAATTTGAAAACTTCACATCCTAAGTTTTCAGCCTACATGAAAAAGATTCTAGTTTGAAAAGTGTTAGCTCTGCTTTCAATAATGTAAGAGTAAACAAATTATTTCTGGGGCACAGAACAATAAATATATACAAAATTATCCCCACAGTGTTTTCCAACTTTAATTAACTTCAAATGAGGGCTGTGGAGTAGGAAGGATCGTGCATGTCTTATTACTTAGGAACTTTATATTTCTAATTACAGAAATTAGTCTTTAGAACTTCTTGCTTTCATTTTCCAACCAGATACAGAGATTAACTTTTAATATATCAAACACAGAGTGTCTCACTGTGACTCACACAGAAAAACAAAGCGTGCATCAGCATCAGCATCAGCATCAGCATCAGCATGATGTGGGAGATCAGTAGATATCGGTGTTTAGTGGGAGGCGGGCTAAAAAAGGACAGATGGTTGAAACTCAGTTATTGAACTAATAGAGAACACAAAGGTCAACGTGGTGACGCACTGTTAGTGACTTTAACATCAAAAACAAATCACTAAAATAGACTTCAACCATATGAAACAGTAGCTATCTACATCAAACCACATCAAGTACTTCTTGATGGGTGCTGAGTAGCATAAAAGCAGAAAAATGCTTTCAGTAAAGTATAGGTCTTAACCTTCAGGCAACAGGATAAACACTCACTTGTAAGTGCTTTGGCATTATTTCAACTTCCACTCCATAAACTTGAGGAATTTCACCCATCTGTATTAGAAAGACTAATTTTCTATGGCAAGAGAGACAATCAGGACTGATCTTCACAGTGAAGGACTCTTCTCAGAGAAATAAAACTAACCTACATATCTTCAAACTATGCTTTAACCTTAGTGTGCGAGATGTATATGGCAGCTGCGCTGAGGGAAGGGGATGGAAGTATGATGTGACACTGTGCAGCATACTGTAGAGTTTAGACAGATCCTCTGGAGAGGGGTCAAAGCAGGTGACACCACTGAAATAAAACCCAATCCAAACTCTCTCTTCTGAATATCAAATGATTTGCCATCTCCAAAACTTTTGCTTTTCACACAGAACAGTGGTGTTGGTCAGGATGTTATAAGAGAGCTAAAGACAGGGGAAGGGGTTCACTTCATATTTCTTATCTTCTGTTCTTCCCACCCTCAGAAGAACTTGTGTTTGGTTTCTTTACCTGTGTGCTTTGAGCCAGTCAGCAAATTGCAAAAACAACCAACCATAAGGTGTAAAATTCCTTAGAATAAAAATGTTCTGGTTAATTTAAAATTAATGTGTGACCTATAAACCTCAATATGCACAATGAAAACCATGTGCGTCAGAATAGTTCTGCATGGGGATCCTGACATAGGCTACTTAGATTAAAATATGCTTGTGCATTGATTAGCTCGATGCTGTTTTGAATCCAGGTCAAACTGAACAGTTCTTTTTGTATCACAAATAGTCATTGTGATCTTTTTGCTCTGTATTTGAGATTTGAAAAGTAAAAGTGTCACGATTAGCTGTGTGGCTGGCAGTGGCTGGACCCAAGTGCAGGCCCCCGAGACAAAATATTAACTTAAGACGGCAGCTTTATTTGCTGGAAACACAAACTTGGCAATACAAAAACACTCAAACAAGGATTGCTTAACTAGACTGGGAATGCATGGCGTGGCATGACATAACCTGACGACAGAAGACGAGGGATACACACACAACTAACGTGGAGGACGCAACGACAAGTACTGACTGACAGGGGCTAAAATACATTAGCAGGAAGATGAGGAAATGAGGAACAGGTGGACACATAGCTGGAACTTATTAGGCAAGACCAGTGTTGGGACTAACGCGTTATTAAGTAACGCGTTACAG